ACGCGCATCCTTGCACGCTTGTCCCATTTCCCAGACTGTGTTGCCGCTGATGCTGCCACACACACACGCGCATACACGTAATAAGTCAGTCGGGGCTGTGTGTGCGTGCACGCGTCCTCTGTAGAGCTGGGGGTGGAAGAGGACGAACAACGAGGACTGGGGGGTGAAGGGGCACGATGGTGGAAGAGTCGTAATGCTGCTATATGGAGCTTACAGGGGATTCATGGTGGTGAAAAGGGAGGCTCGGCGATGATCTATAAATGGAGGTTCCTCCGTGCCCACGGGGTGTGTATATACGTCGTGGGAGGGTGATAACTATGTTACGGGTAATCGTGGGTTCGATGTTGCTGCTCGAGTAACGATGATTTTGCCATTAGCCTGGGAAATGTGCTATACTAGGGGATAAAGAACAAAGTCATTTAGTAGAAAGGTGTGGGGTAGGTAGCAGCGAGAAGATAGGGAAAGGGTCGATAAAATGTGGGAGTGTTGGACAGGTGTTTGCCATTTCATTTGCCCTTGACTCGCGAGCTTGTCGTCCATTATGGGAACAAACACGATCATCTCATTGGGAAAATAAGTGAGGGGAGCTTTGCCACGGAAGTAAATTAAAGTAAAACGAAACAAGAAAGATAGTCAATTGAATCGAGAGCGAAAATTAAAATGTGACCGTCTTTTGGATCACCAGGTGGCTTTCGTACTTCGGCATCGTTATATTTTTCTCGCGGTGAAGGATTTCGGAATTAAGTCGGTCACGCTCGAGGGACGCGAATAATGTGTAACGAACGAGGCGATGGTCAAGGTGGTTTTTTTTTTTTTTTTTTTTTTTTTCACTTGCCGTGGAGGCCCTGCGCCACTGCCAAGATCAAGGGGAGGTCGAAGAAGAACAAAATCTTCGGTCGGTGCATGTCTGGCGACAGGAAAGTTTTTCAAAATTAAGTTAGAGTACACTCGTTAAAATTTCAGTTCTTTTACAGCTGAATTCCAGTGTGTTGAATCACTTTTATTTTCTCTCTTCAATTGCTATCCTGAATGAGGTTTTTTCCTTTATCGTAAAAGCATCAATTGTAAAAAAAATGTATTTGTTACATACCTCGAAAGAATCGAACAGAGATGAAAAGAATATTTCAAGGGGCACCTATACGTACATGAAAATTTTGGTCTTCCAAACAAGTAAATCTGTATAGGCAACTGACTCATCTCGTTTACGTCAAATTGGCCCCTCGGCATAGCGTTGAACTATACGGTGTCTACAAGCGCAAATAGAGAAACGTCAATAATGACGCTCCCGGTAGGGTAGGCGCTTTAATCGATACACGTAATTCCCCGTTGCTCCTCTCTCCAGCCGTCCCTATACGTGAATTCAATTTCGCCTTAACAAGAAGCTAATCGAGCCTGTGCTGCGTCTGTCTATCATCGCGTGGAGGGCATCAGACGCAATGAAGAAAAAAATTTTAATTTTCTCCCTCTTTAGTATTTTGTTTGAGAGATAGATGTGCTTGAAAAAATAAAATAAAATACACCCGAGAAAATGACACGGGGAGGCATCCGGCATCTCGACCATATCTTTCAAGGAGCAAACGTGTATAAAATTATTATTCAAAGACGCCTTTGAAAATAGGCCCGAGTACAGGTATTTTTATTTACTTTTGTCGTCCACAGGGGAGGTACTCTAGCTCGCTCGTGTCGGGAGAACCAGGTCAATTCGGAGTTATTTGAAAATTGGAAATTCCCTCGCTTATGGGTGCCAAGTTGACGCTTAGGTATTTATGCTGATGCTCGTTAATAACGTCGACATGCGCGACTTGAACTATGAATTTTTTTAAATAAAGAAAAAACATACGCTGATGGATAATTTTGTTTTTCTTCGATGTGTCTAACAGTTTTTTTTTAACGTTATTTCTAGTACGTAACGATCGTTAATGAAATTATAAGTTTATTAGTATAGGGCACTTGTAACTTTTTATGGCTTGTGGCTGTTATTCCGTTTTAATTTTAAATGCTTTGCGTGACGCTCGATAAAACTAACCTTTTTTTTATACATCGTCAATAATTAATTGTTTTCTGTAACTGATGTAAATTACGATTCATTGTTTTGTTACAAAGGTCGCGACTCACTTACGATTTCTTATTAAATAAAGCATATCTCTTTTTACTAAGTTTTTCCTAGTTTGTTGGAAAAAAAATAATACAGTAAAAAGTACGAGTATACATACGAGTGTATGGCTCAACTGAAGCCATTCGTTTGCAAGCTAAAAGAGTTTGAGGAAGAAAACTCTGTGTACCGTAAATGTAGAGGTAAAATTTTACAATTTTTTTTCATCTACTTACGTAAAATGAGTGGAACAAAATTTGTATTTCCTTCAAGTTTCATGGGATGGAGTTTCTCGTAAAATCAGAAAATGTTTTTCAGACTCCAAGTGGTTCGGTCTCTTTGTGTCATATTGTATGTACATATTTAGTTTTACAGCGCTTTTACGGTGCTGTAACGTGAGAGTAAAGACAGGAATAAAATGGTTTGGATGTGAAGCACTTGTCGACTCTTCGAGGAAATTCCTCGCAAATTGCTGTCGTTAAAATTGCTGCGTGCACGAGAAACTTGACGATTGCAAATTTACTTTTGTACAAAAAATACGACTAAACCGGTAATTGATCTTATACCCACGTAAAGATAACTTGTTTGCATGAGGCGCTTGACTGTGCCCTTATACCTGCGTGCCAGTGAGCACATGCAGTGATAAAAAAAAAAAAAAATCCAATTTCCGTACGCCCATCTTTCCCGAAAACCGGAAATTACCGTAGCTCTCGCTACATACACTCCGCTTGCTCGTGTCACGAGGTATACTATTTTTCGTTTTAAAACTCCGTTCGTCTCAACTCACTGATCTATATGAATAGTATTTTGCTTCACTGGTACTGCCAGGAAAAATAGCAAACATTAATTTTTACAAAACACGTTGTTCAAAGCACAAAAGTTATTCCTCTATTAATTTCCAAAGACATTTGAAATACCGCAATTAATTTGAAAATTATCTTTTTTTTTTTTTTTTTTTTTTTTTTTTTTTTTTTTTTTTTTTTTTTTTTTTTTTTTT